ACTGTGGACAGTCCTGCTGCCGCCCAGCCTGCTGCTGCTACAGCTGCCCACCACCCAACTGCTGTGAGCCCACCTGTTAAGAGCCAGCCTGCTGATTTCTTAAAAATGGAAGGGGAAACAAGGGAAAACTACGTTCTTCTCTGAAGAAGTATACCATTTGTTGGATGCTAAGTATCACGATGTTGCTAAGCTACTCCTAAATAATGGACCTCTTGTTCAGGACCCCTAAAGAAACCACATATGGATCATCATGCTCTGGAGACCCTGCCTGGCTTGAATAGGTCTCCAGGATGGGGAAGCTCCTCATCCAACGACATCTCAGCACTCCTCCCCGTTTCTCTATCCCCACACATCTTCAGACCTGCTTTCCACTGTGACTTCTAATAAAATGTTGTAATGTCCAAAGCAAACAGACTTATGTCCTTCTTCTACCTTTAAGCATGTTCACGTACAACTGGAATTCAAGGAGACCACTCTCCTTTTGCATTTCAATAATAATCCTTGGGGATAAACATACAGGCTAAGCTAGAAATATTAAATGCAAGTTAAATTATGCTTAAATCCATCTACTACTAAAATTTTCCATTCATTACTCTTCAAAGTTATTCAAATTTTTTTCATGCTGTACTCTACCAAGATTGGGTCTAGACCAAGAGAGCCATTTTCGGGTTGATCAAAGCTTTTGAGTTCCTACCTAGATATCTAATCTCTCTAATATCTAACCTTCTCTAATCTCTCCCATTTAACAAACCAGGTGTTTTCCTTCATTCATGCCCAACATAAAGAAATGGTATTACCTACTAAATAGGTTTGAAAATATCTATCAGATACTATCCATTTTCTAAGAGCATTTGAGTTTAATTCCTATGCCTTAGCCTGTCTCATTCATTCCTCAGACTCTCAAATTGGTCTCCAAACTTCAACTCCCAATATTCACCTTCATTTACTGTACATATAAGAGGTATCTGTGGTCTAAATGACAGAACAAGTAGCTCAGCAGCATACCTAGTGAGTTCTACCATCACCATGTCAGACAGCTGCATTAGAAACCTGAAACAGCTATGTCATGATGCATAATTTGTAACCCAAGCAAATATTGTTCTCTTAAGAAGCGAACACAAACCTTAGAACAAAAAGAAATAGCTTTTACCATTTAATTTTTGAATTCTTCTCTAAGCTTTTGAGTGTAATAGTCAAAAATACAATAACACACACATCCAGGAAAAACATTAGAAATTTTTTCAAAGTTATTTTTATAAGCTCCTAGCACTTACCTCTATCATTTAGTAGATGGCAGTGACGTATCATACAGAAGATGCATTGCAGGAAATATAAAGCAGATGACGCAGTACATTCTTCAAAAGATCATAACTCCTAGACATTTTTTTCCCTGAATGTCAGTTCAACTATTGAATTCAGATAAAAATAATTCAACATTTCCCGGTCTCTTCTCACAGGAAATAACAAGTCTCCTTCACAGGTGTTACAACTTGAAAGTTCTGTTTAATAATTTATGAGTTGTGCAGGGCATTCATGAATCATGCCTTTTACTCCACCCACTCAATAAACATTTATTGAATCAATAATAAATTCAAAAAAACATTTATTAAGATGCTACCAGAAGCTAAGCTGGATACCTTCTTTTCAGTAAGCTGCTTGGTTCGCAAAAGTAAAATAAAATAAAATAAATAGTTTTCTGGCCTGGAACACAAATGGTATTTACTCATTTCAAATTAGTAGAAATCAAAGGAACTGTAATGGTAATTTGATATGATGTTGGAGTATTTGTGGTGGAAGTTTTAACTATATGTGACCAAAGTACATCTTCATTTCAGCAAATATCCTGGTTCTAAACTCAATAGAATTCATTCTATATATCCTGGAGTGAAAAAATAATAATACTTAAAAATAACACAATTACCCTAAGCTTTAGAAGTCTGGACAGACAGTCACGTGGAATGACGACTGTCAAAATGAGGGTGTCGACTGACTGGTCTAAAGTGGGAGGAGTCTTTGAACATGGGAAACCACAAACATATTCTAAAGAGCAAAAGACTGATATGACGAGTCCCCAAAACCTTATAAAACAGAGTAATTTCCAAACTGCTGCCCATAATACGTCCTAAGTATTTCAATGCAAGCCAATCAGAGGACCACTAAGGAACAAATTTAAACAAAAAACAAGAAAAATATGTTAAGAATTTTATAAACAGCTGCTGGTTCAGATATATAAAGGCCCCATGTGGCAGTCACCTCTCAAACTCAGAAACTCCTCCAACCAACCCAGGTCTCAACCCAACTCCTGACACCATGGCCTGCTGCTCCACCGGCTTCTGCGGATTCCCCAGCTGCTCCACCAGTGGGAACTGTGGCTCCAGCTGCTGCCAGCCCAGCTGCTGTGAGTCCAGCTGTGGCATTGGGGGCGGCATTGGAGGCGGCTTTGGCCAGGAGGGTGGCTTCGGAGCCATGAGCTACCGCATCAGGTGGTGCCGCCCAGACTGCCGCGTGGAGGGCACTTTCCTGCCACCCTGCTGCGTGGTGAGCTGCACACCCCCCACCTGCTGCCAGCTGCACCATGCCCAGGCCTCCTGCTGCCGCCCATCCTACTGTGGACAGTCCTGCTGCCGCCCAGCCTGCTGCTGCTACAGCTGCCCACCACCCTCCTGCTGTGAGCCCACCTGTTAAGAGCCAGCCTGCTGATTTTTGATTGCCCAGGATGCAGCATCTCTGAACTATTCATCCTCTTGACCATCCCTGAACCACTAAGATGTTCTTAGACCTCTATTTCATTTTCTCTTGTGTGGGCTATCAAGGGTCTGAGAATCACCATTCTGATTCCATTCTATAATGAATACAGCGATCTTCACTGTGGACAGAAAAATGCTGTGAACCCATCTTCAGTTCATCAAATTACATGATGATATTTCTGATCCTCTTGCAAAACTGAAAACTACCACCGTATTCTGGAATTTTTCCTTGAGAACTGTCTACAATGCTTATTTTCCCACCTTGCTTTATGATCTCTATTTATCTTGTTTGCCTGCAATTATTTTATAATGCCAAGGCACCAGAGTATAGCCAAGAGACATTCCTAAGATGTCATCAGAGAGAAAGGAAGGTCTTCACCCAACATCCAGCTTCTAAGAAGTCAGCTGAACCTTTCTACAGTTCAGCATGAGACCTCCCCCTTGTTTTTTGGATCATAATGATCTTGCCTGTTGGCTATTTCAATTATATCTGTGGCACTGTGTCTTCTGATGTTTCTTAATAAAGGTTATATACTGGGCAAAGAAACCATGGTCTCTGTTTCTACTTGCACATCTAGTGGTTTCACTGCTTTTAATTCAAGAACATCTACTTGAAAAAATTCAGCTGTTTCTTTTTGAGAATGAAGCCATATAATATATAACATATCACATATTAACAATAAAAATATAGTAATCGCCCCTTCTAAAGCAGGGATTATGGCAAAAGATGAAGAGTGAATGCTTATCCCTGAGGTCCTTATTATCCAGAAAAAAAATAAGTATGAAAATAGCTACACAAAATATAAGGAGGTAAATTGTATTCTCATAGGAGTTCATAGAAGAATCCCTCTTGGGTGAATAGATATTTTTCAGCGAATCTGCCCTGAAAGGACAACATCCCCAAAAGGATGTTGCAGGACATGCAGCCCCAAAAGCCAAGAGAATGTTGGCAGCCCCAAAAGCCCAAGAGAAGGATGTGAAACAATGTGCGAGGTAGGGAAGAATATTTTTAATCTAGAAATGTAATAAGGAGAAAAACAAAGAGAGGATTGATCTAGTCAGGAGGTCAGGAATTTTGCTATATGTTCCCCTCCCCATTAATCCTTGGGATGGGTCAACTTTCCTGCAAAAAAACAGTGAACGAGCTAAGTCTTTTGTCTGGTTTGATGTCATGGGAAGATCACAGCCTAGGACCTATATAGAGCAAGGGGATCCTGACAAGGTAATACCTCAGGAATGTGCAGAAATTGTCAAGAGGCTTTGGAGTGCCAATGCAGTGGAAATGAATGCCTAGGGTCTGTGAACTGCAATGACTATGGGAGGGTCTTCAATAGGATCTAGAAAAGAAGAAATCACTTCACTTTAAAACCTGTAGGGGCATGTGCAATGGGGGCTGCATCAAGGAAATCTTCACAAAGGAGGTAATCTTTGAGTTGAGGTTTGAAAGTTATTCCAAATGAAAAGAAAAAAAGAATGAGCAGAAAAGAGTCGGATCCACACCTGTTAGAATGGCTTAATCCACATCAATGACGACACCCGATGCTGGTGAGGATGTGGAGCAGCAGGACCTCTGGTTCATGGCTGGTGGGAATGAAAAATGGCACAGCCGCTTTGCAAGACACGTGGACACTTTTTCACAAAACTAAACTTGCTCTTAGGTTGCGGGGAAATGACAGGCTAGAGGAACCCACCATCTAGTAACTGCTCCCCAAGATTCAATCATAATGGCATGTAGCTGTATGATGGGGGAAAGCCTCAGAAGGTGACTCAGAGAGCCAGCAGCCAGGTGAGACCCAGAAATCCGGGTTTTTAGGATAGGAAGGGAATTAATCAAAGAAATGGACTGCTGCAGCATCAGGTGGGCAGTGAATGGCTCAGAGTGGGAGGGGAGGCTCCCCAGCAACCATCTGAAAGAAACTTTCCCAGCAAGTTTAAGAAAAGCAGGCTCTGGGGCTGGGGATGTGGCTCAAGTGGTAGCACACTCGCCTGGCATGCGTGCGGCCCGGGTTCGATCCTCAGTACCACATACCAACAAAGATGTTGTGTCCGCCAAGAACTAAGAAAAAATAAATAAATGTTAAAATTCTCTCTCTCTGTCCCCCTCTCTCTCTCACTCTCTCTTAAAAAAAAAAAAAAGTTGTGGATGGATACAATATCTTTATAAAAAAAAAAAAAAAAAAGAAAGAAAGAAAAGAAAAGCAGGCTCTGCTGTCCAGAGAAACCACAGGAGAGCAGAAAAACAGGCCCAGATGCTTTGAAGTGTGGGAGTGTGTCCTGGCACTTCCCAGCGAATGCAGTGGAAATAGGGAATCGGTGCCAGCTGAAAAAGTCTTATTGTTCCAACTTTCTGTGTGGGAGATTTCTCTGTGGGAGATATTTTTTAATTTTTAATCTCCCACACAGCAAAGTGAAAGGCACCTTCCTATGAAATTGGCAATATGAACTCTGTGGTCAGGAGCAAGGACAACAGTGGTTTAAGTGAGCTAGGTCCGAGTTGGGTAGAAAGCTGCTATCTGCGCATCCCACCCTGGGCCTGGGCCTGTCCCCCACACTGGGAAGCCACTGGTGGATCTGCTGGTGAGACCTGGGCACTTCCCCATACCTCTCCCTAGCACATGGAGGGGGGCTCTCCAAACAAGGGGTATTGTGCAGTCCAAATCAGAATATAGGCTATCCAGGTGACAGGGCTGGCCTACTAGAGCCACACCCCCACGTCTAGATATCAAAACAGCCTGACTTCTGAATACCGAGCCTGACTTCTCTGAAACACGGGTCTCTCCCCAACACTCGCTGGCAGGCAAGAGGAGGCACAGCTCAGCAAACAGACTACACTAACAGGTTTGGCCAGTTTGGGTCATAGTTGAAAAAAAAAATTACACAAATTATAATTGTATCTCACAAACCTCCTCCCAGCTGGGGGACTCTAAAATCAAAGCCCTGGGGAAAAAAAATAGAGTCTCCATTTAAAATACCTCAGCAAAGGGAAAACTGAATCTTTTTTGATGGTTGCCTCACGTGCTATTTTGTGCACTATTCTGTTGTGTCTTCCCTCACTCTTCAGGTTTTTTTTTTCATAATTTTATGGTTTTATTTTCAATTAACTGGATTTTTTTCTCTGTACCTCTCTTCTTTCTAACCTTCATGCCTTCTTTCTCATTCATTCTTCTTTCCCCCTTTTATCTACTGTCTCCCTTCCCTCCCTTTTCTTCCTTTGTTTTTTTTTAATTTCCCTCTTCTTCCAATATAATATAGTATTAATATACCATCAGTAAGGCTTAACTTTTCGGCCTATTTTATGTTATTTCTTACCCACTCTCTCATGGGTTAGTAGAGTTAAAGGGCAACCGGTGAATAAGAATTGTAAATATATGTTGGTTTATGGTTTGTCCAACAGATTAGATCAAGTAGAAGATACAACCTCAAACTTGAGTGCAAGACAGATAGACTTGAGCATTCAGACAACACTAAAGAGAAATATTGAAAACCATGATCAGAATATCCCAGAACTCTGGGACAACATTAAGGAATTTAAGGCTCATAGGTATTGTGGAAGGATCAGAGACCCTGGCTAATGCTATTGATAACCTACTCCATGACATAATAACAGAAAAACTTCCAAACCTTGGGAATGAAATGGACAGAATATAACAATTACTAATAGGGCATTATGTAAAATTGTGGATGTGTAACCGACATGATTCTGCAATCTGCATTTGGGGTAAATTGGGAGTTCATAACCCAATACAATCTAATGTATGAAATATGATATGTCAAGAGCTTTGTAATGTTGTGAACAACCAATAAAAAAAAAAGAAAAAAAATGAAATGGACATTCAGATGCTGGAGGCATTCAGAAGCCCAAATAGACAAGACCAGAAAAGAATCTCTCCACGACACATTATAATTAAAATGCCAAAAATCCAGAACAAAGAAAATTTTTTAACTTACAAGAGACAAATGCCAGGTCATATTTAAAGGAAAACCCAATTAGAATATACAGCATTTTTCATCAGAAACCTAAATTCCAGGAGGCTTGTAATGGTGTATTTTAAGCCCTGAAATAAAATAAATACCAAGATTTCTATATACAGCGAAGCTATCCTTCAGAATTGAACAAGAAATAAAAATCTTTCATGAACTAAAGGAATCCATGACTACTAATCCAGGATTGCAAAATATGCTTAAAGGAATTCTATTCACAGAAGAAGATAAAAAACAACCAAGAGAGCTCGGAAAGGAATTAATCTCAGGAAAGATTAAAATTATTATACGAGTAGATAAGCAAATGAGAATCAGGATTGAAGCAAACATTGGAAATAAATCAAAATGACAGAAGAAAATAACACTAAATGTAAATGGCCTCAATTTATTCCAAGGATGCAGGGGATGATTCAACATATACTACTAGTCACTAAACATAATACACACATAAAAAGAACCAAAGTTACATAATCATCTCAATAGATGCAGGAAACGCCTTTGAAAAAAAATTCAACACTCTGATAAAAACCCTGAAGAAACCAGGGAGAGAAGGAAGCAACTTGCTTCAACCTCATAAAGGGTATGTATGACAAATCCAGAAGCCAACATCATAGTTAAAAGGGAAAAACTGAATGGGGAAAAGCTTTTCTTCTAAAATTAGAAACAAAATAAGGATGTCTACTCTCACCACTCCTACTCAATCTAGTACTTTAAATGTTAGCCAGAACAATTCGGGAAGAAAAGGAAATAGAAATGATACATGTAGGAAAGAAAGAAATCAAATTGTCTTGTTTGTGGATGACATAATCCTATATACAGAAGACCCTAAAGCTCCAGAAAAAGACGTCTAGATCTGATAAATAAATTTAAAAAATTAACATACAAAAACTAAGAGATTTTCTATACACCAATAATAAATTTTCTGAGAAAGGTATCAAGATAATTCCATTCACAATACCTTTCAAAAATAAAATATTTAGGAATAAAGTAAACTAAAGAGGTAAAAGATCTGTACAAGAAAAAGTATAGAACACTGAAAAAAGAAGTAAAAGAAGACACCAGAATTAATATTGTTAAAAATGGCCATACTACCAAGAATGATCACCAGATTCAATGCAAGCTTTATCAAAATAGCAATTATATTCTTCTTAGATCTAGGAAAAAATTTATAAAATTCCTGTGGAAGAACAAAATACCTAGACTAGCCAAATAAATACTGGACAAAAAGAGTAAAGTTAGAGTCCTTATAATATCCAAGCTCAAATTATACTGCAGAACCATAGTAACAAAATACAGTTTGGTCCTGGCATAAAAACAGACACATAGACCAATAGAATAGAAGACACACAGACAAGCCCACATAGGTACAATCATCTGAAATTTGCCAAAATCTTATTTTGGAGCAAAGGCAAAGGGTTCCAGGAAAACTGGATATCCATATATAAAAGAAGTTTGAAACTAGAGTCCTATCTCTCAACCTGCACAAAAGTCAAATCAAAATGGACCAAAGACCTAGGAACAAGAACAGAAATTTTGCAACTGCTGGAAGAGAACATAGGGGAAACA